GTTCTAGCAAATCACCGAAATGACAGGGCCTGTAGGGTCAGAAAAAGTTGCTATGATAAGCAAAAAATTAGAATATTAAATATATTTAGATAGAATTTCATTATTTTTTTTTCAACCTAATCGCCTGTGTGAGAGGAAGGTATAACACAGTTGAGAGTAGTTTAGAACAATTCTGAGGGGAATGTAAGCAAAATTAAAATAGCCTAAGCCTAAAAAGAAGTCTATGCTATTAGGTCATGTGATAAACATGAGTCTGAGAGCCGACTCCACGTCTCAACAAGCTGTTGAAAGACGCAATTCGGAGGCCGCAAGCAGGCTGAATAGGTGAGTGACTTGCAAATCTGTCGTGAGGAGAAATAAACAAAAGAATGTAAAAGTAATAATCAGTCCTATTTGACATTTAATGCAAGGTGGAATTGCCGAATCAGAGGGAAGGTAGGAAACAGGTTAGAAAGTGAGTGGACTAGATTGGCGAATAAAGGTCCAAATGAGAAATACCGGGCTGGATGAAGACACCTTCTTATGAGGCAGGAGGCCGGGACAAGGAAACAATGAGACAGCATGGTCAAGGTTGGCAATGCTCTCCAGGCTGTATAAAGACGAGGCTAGACGGGGCAACATGAAGGCCTTGTCTTGCGGGATCCTCACATTCAGACAATAGTCGGGCAGCTTCCACTGGAAGTGTGGAGGCTGAGAAAATGGGTGAATTCCGTCCAAAACAATATGATAAATGTAAAAAGACTAACTCTAATATGGTTGCATTTAAAGGTGAAATGACGAAGAGAAAAGACAAAATAAACTGGGCTAATCCACACACAGCGAGACTCGATTGTACAGGGTTGGGAAAAACGACATTGAGTCGAAGGGGAGAGAATGAAATGAAAGCATTAATCACCAAGACCAAGTAGGGCATGATATGCAGCCTGCTGTCACGCCGCTTCTCAACGGCAACGCAGTCGTCCAAGCCGGGACCGGTCTAGACCGGTCCAAGCCAACTGGGCCAGGCCTCGAGTTTGCGGCTGTAGATATGCTATAGGCTCTGGCGATCCATGCCAGGAGGGCAAATATGCACAAGTGAAGGCCAAACAGGGACACACAGACGCTAATATACACACGCATGCAGACGTGAAGAAGCGAAGGATCAAGTCGTCAGTCGGTCGTGGCAAGCCGGAATGGCCAAGAATTCGGACACTGAATCAGATGGCGTTGGAACAATTAAGGAGACAGGTCAGCTGTTCACCAGTGAGGCAAAAAACCGACCGACCGACCGACCAACCAACCAACCAACTAAACTGCCATCCAACTGAACAATCAAACAATTAACCAACTATCAATTGGCCAACCGAACAACAAGCCATCAATCAGTCAATTAACCAGCTAATCATCCAACTGAACAACCAACAAATTAACTATCCGAACAGGAAACCCTCAAGCAATCAAGAAACCAACAGACCCAACAACAAACCAGTAATCAATCAACTAACCTAATAAGCATCAAAGTGAACAATCAACCAATTAAGCAACCGAACAACAAACCATCAATCAGTCAATTAACCAGCTAATCACCCAACTGAACAACCAACAAATTAACTAACCAAACGGCAAACCCTCAAGCAATCAAGAAACCAACAGACTCAACAACAAACCAGAAATCAATCAACTAACCTAATAAGCATCAAAGTGAACAATCAACCAATTAAGCAACCGAACAACAAACCACCAATCAGTCAATTAACCAACTAGCAAATGAACAATCAACTAATTAGCCAACCGAACAACAAGCAATCAATCAGTCAATTAACCAGCTAATCACCCAACTGAATAGCCAACAAATTAACCAAACGAACGGCAAACCTTCAGGCAAACAACAAACCCAACAACAAACCAGAAATCAATCAACTAACCTGATAACCATCAAAGTGAACAATCAACCAATTAGGCAACCGAACAACAAACCACCAATCAGTCAATTAACCAACCAGAAAATGAAAAACTAATTAATTGGCCAACCGAAAAACAAGTCATCAATCAGTCAATTAACCAGCTAATCACCCAACTAAACAACCAACAAGTTAACTATCCGAACAGGAAACCCTCAAGCAATCGAGCAACCAACAAACCCAACAACAAACCAGAAATCAATCAACTAACCTAATAACCAACAAAGTGAACAATCAGCCAATTAAGCAACCGAACAACAAACCATCAATCAGACAATTAACCAACTAACCATCCAAGTGAACAACCAACCAATTGACCAACTGAACAACAAACTCGCAATCAATCGATCAACCAACCATCAGCCGAACAACCAACTAAATAACCAATTGAACAATCAACCACCCAACCGAACAACAAAGCATCAATCAATCAATCAATCGCCCAACCAACCGACCGATTGACTTGTCGATAAGAAAGAGGACGTATATCGGGCGCTTACCGACGCAAAGGAGGCCAACTCAGCGGAATGCAACAAGAAGAATGTCTCAGAAACATAGTTGGCTTCTCGAGCCCGGCCGAATGAAGGTGGGGAGCGCGATGCGGTCAACATGGCGCTGATGAGTGGGGCGGGGACGGTCGCCGGGTGAAGTAAGCTGGCGATGGTCAAGTGGAAGAGAAACTAAACATCAGACACGAGACTATGAGAAATGCTGGGCGGGCAGACGCCCTGTTGGCAAGGCAGCAAACACAAAGTGATGCATTTGTCAGCATGTCTACTTCCTCATGCAGGCATGTGATAACAGCCTCAAATCAGCCGGTTCCGCAATGCGTTGACACCGACCAGGAGGGCGGTGATAGCGTCAAGCTCCACATGGATTATCGGCGCTAATAATCTCTTTCTCTCTCTCTCTCTATTTCATGCACAAAAACACACACACACACATACACACATACACACAACTGAAGGCATCACAAAAGCTTTGGAAGAGGATTAGGCAAGAAAATGAAGCAAAATAGTCTTGACGGCCGAGGAAAGAAGGCCAGTCGGATATGGAGGAGACGGAGGACAAGGATGCTTGCATAGTCGGTTGAAATAAATCCTATTCACTTGCCTATAGGTTCAGATAGCTGATCAACTTATGGAGGATCCGAATGGCACACACAGACAAGGTAACAGATCAAGTGGATCGATGAAAATCTGTACTCCGCTAGTGACTGAATGTGGCTGCATTTCAGCATTTTCCGACTGATTGTTGTGTATATGAAAAAAAAACACACACACACCAAACTGAGTGGGACAAGTTGACAGTGATTGAACCGAACGCGTACAACAAGTCGTATGATTATTGAAAAGTGAAGTTGCGCGGCTTGTCGGCCTGCGAAAAGGGAATTCGCACTTGTTGTCGTAGTTGATGCGAGATGAGAGAGTGAAAGGAAAACCGTGCGAAAATGCAACTGTTTTGGAAGAATAGCCTCGCCGTGCCAGCATCACACGACTTCTGACCTCGTCATCATCGTGGTTGCCGTCTTCTGGAGAGGGAGATGGAGAAAAATGGCCGGCAGAAAGTGGACGGAGCGGGAGAAAGAAGCGTTTCTGGGCCGACCCGAGGGATTGCACGGAAATGGCGCACAGCCGAACAAAGCTCAAAGTTACGACTGACTGAGGCGAGTAGGAAGGAGCAGGAAAAGAGGGTGCATCTGTCCGACGAGGCATGAGGACACACACCTCCGGGCGTCCGGGAGACGATGGGCAAAGCAGGCCAAACGGAAAGAAAGTGAGGGTGTTGGCACAGAATGACAATGCATCGGCCGGGCTGGATAGTCGTGCGCCGAAATGGCCGACGAGTTTGGGCCAAACGGTGTCAGGGAGACAAGCGGCGGAGAGGGAACGGCAACGGCAACATCAACAACGAGGGTGACGACACCGGCAGCAGCAGCGTCAAGTGGCGAAAAGAGGAGCGAAGCGACAGGAAAAAATCCCAACGGATTGATTGAAGTTGAAATGAAACCGAGCAAAATAAAAATAAAAGTAAGAGTAAAAAAAGAAAGTCCGTTAACTGAATCAAGCCGATATCACGTGGAGATGAAGCTTCAAATACAACCGCACAAAAAGATGAACGACATCGCGTACAGATGCAGCTGGGTGTGGATGTGTGTAAACAGACCAAAAAGAGGACATGCTGGAGTG